CCGTTGATCATTGACTATGTCATGTATGCCTAGGGATTGCTCTCTTGTAATGCACGGATCCTTCATACTAGTATCTGATTCAAAAGAAACTTTATTGAGTAGAAACACTTCAAAAAGCACTTATTAAATTTTTTAGATCCTAATAAACTGCTTTATTTTCCTTGGTACCCTGATGCATTTTTCCCCTCTGTAGCTTTCAATTTATTGGCCCCTTTCCTAAAAAATTGGCCCCTAAAAGAGATTTTCAGGGGCCACTTTGGCCCTCAAGTAAAATTTTCATCATCAGGTTGTATCATCCCAGCGAGTAACAGCAGTCAGAAAATTTTCTTTTGTTCTATGCAACCTATTGAAATATCAAAAAGGCATCGGATAATTTGTTAGCCCATCATCTCCTGAGTTATATTTTCCAGTCAGTGTCCTCAGTAACAAAAAGACTGGTAAATCAGTTTAGCAAGGACAGTCATTTTTGTGTTTAAAGGCTTGCACATGCCTACCTAAACAAAAATGGCAAATAAATTGTTATTTTCGGATTCTACACTGTATTAGCCTTACAGTGATATATAGTTTACCAAGGTTTTCTTTAAAGCAGCATGTAAAGAAATCTAATTAAAAGCAATATTTTACTCTCTTGCTTTGCTCTTTCATAAAAACAAATTTTGTTTTTACCGCTCAAAAATAACATTCATGTCTTCCTTACTCTGTGCTGTATCCTCTTTAAATTAATTAACTAGTAAGTAAACATGTTTTAATTCCTGGCCATTTTTATGACAGGAAAGTCTTCATGACTGTGTAAAGCCTTTCTCATTGAAGAAAATAAATGGAATAACATTTCTGGTGAGGAGATTTAGATTTATTAAATATTAGTTTCTTGAATACTGTTTGAATACATTTTGTAGTTGTATTAATTATTGATGTATACAACTGTTAATTAGTAATATTTTCATAATTAATTTTCACCACAACTTGACATCTATTAAACACTGTCAGTTTTAAGAGTTTGTGACTCAAAATCGAATATTTTATTCCTGACTTGTTTATTCAAGGGCTGTGGAGACCCCTTTTAAAGTAATCGGGATAAAAATCTGGCCAAGATAAACAAGCTTCAGGGGTCACTGTTCCACCTTTTTGTTACTTTCAAGCTGTGGTAAATTTCATACATTAACCCATTTACTCCCATGCTGCCCACAACCGGCCATGATGAGCCTTGGCCTTTGTTCCACTTCTGCCGTCATCACCTTTGACCAAAATTGACATCATCCACACTCAAGTTCTGCAGGAGCAAAAGATCTTTCCAATGATATCCAGATCAGAATAACTGGCTCAATGGAGCCTGAAATATGCACAAAAATGTTCAGAAATTTGAGGGAAAAACTCGCAGCAAAATTCCCTGCAACTACACTTGGCTACTCCGTGGTAAAAATTGCCCATCTCAATGATGCTTTCTCAGAAATCTTTGAACTGGAAGCAAACCCAGTTACAGGTGAATCACTGCAGCAAAAAGAGAAGGAGAGAAAGGAAAGGGAAAACATTAATTAAAATAAGGAAAAAAAAAACCAAAAGCCTAAAGATGTACTAGGTCACTTTCTTGTCCAAGATTTTGGCACATGTCCGAGCAAAAATGTCATAAAATGTGATGCTAGTGGAAAGGAAGACGTGCTGTCATGTTGCAATTGCCTTTTTGAGTAGATTGGAGCTAATTTGGCCCACATCCAGGCTGAAAATCTCCAAAGTGTCCAAAAATTGTGTTTTTGGCAAAAGGTTCCTGAGTCAATGGGTTAATTGGCATGTCATTGATCTGGAGCCCTAAAAAATCAACCCAAGTGCAAATGCGGTAGGGCTATGGCCCTACCAGCCCCTCCCCCTTAGCGGTCCNTATTTTACGAGGGTAACATTTGACAGTAATAAAACTGATAACCTAATGACCCTCAAAAATTAAAATTTGAAAAAGAAAGAAATAGTAACAATCATAACAATATGAAAAATAATTAAAGTAAAATAATTAAGCCTATATACATCGTAAAATATTTATAAAATGTGATTATTTTCAAATTTTTTAAAAAATTTACAGGAATAATTTACTCAGAATTTGATTATCTAAAATTATTTTAAAAAGGGAGTGCTTAATTTACTTTCAAAGTTCCAGCGACTTCACAGTGCAATGGTAGCTTAAAGATATATATGTTATTGGCCGGCTGGGAGGTCCGTTTAATGAAAAATTGTGACCAAGGTCTTGAAAATGCTGCCGAAGGCCGCAGTCCGAGGGCAGCATTTCCAAGCCGGAGGTCATAGTTTTTCACTATTAATGCGGACTGACCCTAAGCCGCCTTTTCTACCATAAATTGAATAGCAGAAAGCGAGGAAATTCATTAAGTGTATTCCACAGAAATTCTCTCAAATACAGCAATGATCAGATAGGTAAACTCGACTGCAATCGACTCATTTTTGGCTTAAAATCGTGTGGCAAGAGAAACACGGGATTCATGGGGAGTATGCGCCATTACAGTGCCAAGTGCCAAACAAACTCTCACAACTTCAAAACACTCACCCGAATTTACTTATGGTGCATAGGGATAAACTTGCATTGATTAATCATCGATGGAAGTGTGAAAATAGGTAAAAAAAATTGAAGATTACCGCTAATTTGTTCACGAAAATAGATCAACAGGACAGATTCCACCCGCTGTGGTGGGCCTGATAGGAAAATTCCGCCCACTCCCGGGACCAATCAGATTGCAGGATTTGTTGAATTCCACCTGCTCTTGAGCTGAGAAAAAAATTCTTTTCTCGTGGTAGGGTTACTGTAGATTTTCAAGGGCTGATTTTGAGTCATGATTTTTAAAACAAGTCAACGATGGAATAAAACTGTGTCAACCATTGAGTTTAGCAGTATCAATTTTTGTGGCAATCTCATCCACAGACTTGTATTTGTCTTCTTTTGAGATCCCAGGTTGCATCTTTTTCACACAGAAGTCTTCACTTTTGTTGATTGTATTCATCTCCTAAGCAATAGACTATGCGATTTTGTACAGTCTTCACATTCCTAAATTTGAACGCAAGTGCAAATCACAAGCAAATTTCTTCACTGCCCTCTACTGGCACACAATGGGATTGCCATGAAATTACAAACTGATAATTAAAGACTGATATCTGACATGGGAGCCTCTTGAGATGCTCTTTTCCTCTCCTTCTTAGATTGTTTTTCCATATTCCATATTCCATATTCTAGTTCAACAAACAGGCCAGCGAATTACGTGTTTTGTTTCGATGTATAAATATTCGTATTGGGCTCAGCAGGCTGAATAGGCCATTTCAAAGGTTATTGTGCTATCTTTTCTCTTTTTCACTTCTGCTTCTTTTCCATTTATCTGCTGATTCAGTTTATAAGCTGCTGAATGTTTCACAGTAGACTTCACTTTACTTGGTGTAATATTTTCTATGAAATATAAACAACGCACCTTTCCAGGGAAGCATTCCTATAATGTTTATTGTCACCAGACTCTCTGGCAAGTTGTAAGTTGCATTTCATTACTTAATGGGATGGCCACGTTGACAAGCACTTCAGTGATGTACGAGGCTGAAAACTCAAATTTTATTTTTGTGTGAATTTCCTCTCGAGATCTTGGTGAGTTTTTGGCTGGCGAGATTTGCGAGATCTCCGGTGAGATCGGCAAGATCTTGTCCAGATTTAGAAAGACTCAAACATCACAGCGAGATCTTGGCAACCTTGGTGAGATGTACAGTGTTTCCACCAGAGCGCGCCATTGAAGGAATCCCGCGTTACAATCAGAGATGGCCCCCAGAAAAACGAAAAAAGGGCCAATTTGGCCCTTTCCTTTTGCAAGACTGCAAGCTTAATACAGGTACAATATTTTAAAAGCCATCCAAGGGCTCGGAATTGTGATCGATACGGTTGCCAATGCAACAAGCATTTCATCCTTGGCGACCAAAAATTCTGGTTTAGTGGCCATAATACGGCATAATGGCGACTACATTTCTCTGTGTTGACAATCAATAATGGTTATTTTGTCACATATTATGTCCTTGTAGAAGATCAAATTGAAGGATCTTTGCTTCTAAAACATTCATCATAAGAAAAGAAGTCAATCCGTCCTTTTGCTTTGCTGTATTGGTTCTCTCATATCGGAAAACTTCCAAATGGCTGACCGTGTTTGAAATCGCCCCATAATGCATTGCAAACCCTTCATCACTGACTATGACATGTAGGCCTAAGGATTGTTCTCTTGCAATGCACGGATCCTTCGTACTAGTATCTGATTCAAAAGAAACTTTATTGAGTAGAAACACTTCAAAAAGCACTTATTAAATTTTATCATAGATCCTAATAAACTGCTTTATTTTCCTTGGTACCCTGATGCATTTTTCCCATCTGTAGCTTTCAATTTATTGGCCCCTTTCCTAAAAAATTGGCCCCTAAAAAAGATTTTCAGGGGCCACTTTGGCCCTTAAGTAAAATTTTCTGGCTGAAACACTGGATGTAGGAAATCTCGCCAAGATCTCTGTGAGATTTTATCATGGCAAGATCTGAACGAGATCTCGTCAATCTTGGCAAGATCTCGCCAGTGTCAGTGAGATGACTGATATCTTGGTGAGATCTCAGTAAAAATTTTGCGCGGGTTGGCAAAATATTTGTGAGATATCAAATCTAATTATTTTCCTTGCAGCATCCCAGCAAGTAACAGCAGTCAGAAAGTTTTCTTTTGTTCTATACAAGCTATTGAAATATCAAAAAGGCATCAGATAATTTGTTAGCCCATCATCTCCTGAGTTATATTTTCCAGTTAGTGCCCTCAGTAGCAAAAAGACTGGTAGCCTTCTTTAAAGCAGCGTGCAAAGAAATCTAATTAAAAGCAATATTTTACTCTCTTGCTTTGCTCATTCATAAAAACAAATTTTGTTTTTACCACTCAAAAATAACATTCATGTCTTCCTGTCTCTGTGCTGTATCCTCTTTAAATTAATTAACTAGTAAGTAAACATGTTTTAATTCCTGGCCATTTTTATGACAGGAAAGTCTTCATGACTGTGTAAAGCCTTTCTCATTGAAGAAAATAAATGGAATAACATTTCTGGTGAGGAGATTTAGATTTATTAAATATTAGTTTCTTGAATACTGTTTGAATACATTTTGTAGTTGTATTAATTATTGATGTATACAACTGTTAATTAGTAATATTTTCATAATTAATTTTCACCACAACTTGACATCTATTAAACACTGTCAGTTTTAAGAGTTTGTGTCTCAAAATCGAATATTTTATTCCTGACTTGTTTATTCAAGGGCTGTGGAGACCCCTTTTAAAGTAATCGGGATAAAAATCTGGCCAAGATAAACAAGCTTCAGGGGTCACTGTTCCACCTTTTTGTTACTTTCAAGCTGTGGTAAATTTCATACATTAACCCATTTACTCCCATGCTGCCCACAACCGGCCATGATGAGCCTTGGCCTTTGTTCCACTTCTGCCGTCATCACCTTTGACCAAAATTGACATCATCCACACTCAAGTTCTGCAGGAGCAAAAGATCTTTCCAATGATATCCAGATCAGAATAACTGGCTCAATGGAGCCTGAAATATGCACAAAAATGTTCAGAAATTTGAGGGAAAAACTCGCAGCAAAATTCCCTGCAACTACACTTGGCTACTCCGTGGTAAAAATTGCCCATCTCAATGATGCTTTCTCAGAAATCTTTGAACTGGAAGCAAACCCAGTTACAGGTGAATCACTGCAGCAAAAAGAGAAGGAGAGAAAGGAAAGGGAAAACATTAATTAAAATAAGGAAAAAAAAAACCAAAAGCCTAAAGATGTACTAGGTCACTTTCTTGTCCAAGATTTTGGCACATGTCCGAGCAAAAATGTCATAAAATGTGATGCTAGTGGAAAGGAAGACGTGCTGTCATGTTGCAATTGCCTTTTTGAGTAGATTGGAGCTAATTTGGCCCACATCCAGGCTGAAAATCTCCAAAGTGTCCAAAAATTGTGTTTTTGGCAAAAGGTTCCTGAGTCAATGGGTTAATTGGCATGTCATTGATCTGGAGCCCTAAAAAATCAACCCAAGTGCAAATGCGGTAGGGCTATGGCCCTACCAGCCCCTCCCCCTTAGCGGTCCCTGTTATGAGAGATAAATCAAGATTGCAAATCTAACAGAGAGGCTAAAAGGTGATTTGTCAGAAATTAAGTTCCCTACTTGAGCTACGTACTGACAGGAACTGTTTTGTTCCTAACCTTGGACTTGCAGAACTTATCAGATTATGAGATCACGTCACTTCGCATATCACAAGAGAGTAAGAGGTATTGTCAACTTCCATTGGTTGCAATGTTCCATAGATATTAATCCAAGACTGGAGTTAATTGAAAGTTAATAATTTTCATTCTGTATTAATAAATTTACTTTTCTTTTATTTGTCACAGAAAACTGACAAAAGTGCTCAAAAAGATAAAGGCAAAGAGAAGAAATGTCAATAAAAGGTAAAGGTAATTTGGACTTACATGTTAACTGGCCATTGTCAACACTGTGCATTACGGATAGAGGTTCTTGACTTATTGTTGGAGCTTCTTTTGAAGTGTTCAAGAGCCACTTGCTATTTTTCAAATGTGACATACATGTACACAAAGCTACCTTGAAGACAGTGTTTACGGTAAATAGTCTTCAGTTGTCTCCTTCCTACAATATATTGCCCATCCACAAGCCTAAGGGAAACTGAAATTTTTCTGCATTGTTAATGTCGCCATAGCGAAAAACCAGTACTTGGGTAGTGGTCAACTTAAAAACTAGACACCCTAAGAGTGTTTACTTGGGCTTTATTACGAGTACGCGTATTGGACACGATAAAAACAAATGAAGGAATCAGGATATTTTAGCACAAGAGTTCTGCTTAGATGTTTAGTATTTATTACTTGCTACGTTGAGTATCCTCCTAATCCAATCGCAGGTTTAAACCATTTTGGTTCAAGAATCAAGCACAACTGTTTACGCATTTATGGAGAACTTGTTTGCAAAGAATTTTCCGGGTCTCTTTTCAACTTATGGTGATTACATTGTACATCCTAGCAGAAGTTGTATGAAGTTTGTTTACTGGTCGTGACGATCCGAGTGAATTGTGTAGCTGAACATTTTGCCATGTTGCGATCTTCAACCCTTTTCAAGAGTCATATCTCCTTTGGAGAGCGAGTAATCTCTTTCAAGAGAACCAAAACAGTATCATGATAAACAACAGTTTACGACAAGGTGTCAAATTACATTGCACATAATTTGCATAAACTTTCAAGTTGCGTTTTTTGTGGATAACTTCCGAGAATTTGCAACCAGCAATTTGCAACACAGTTTATGAAGAAATATTCAAGCTACATATTTTTTATTAAATCAAGGCAGGAGTATTTTTAACAGGGAACTCATTTATAAGGGAAGATGCGGCATTCTGCTTTGCTATTTATTTGGTTTCGTGCTCATCTAGTCAGTCATGTCACGCAACATGATTTTCGTTAGCAGTCAGACACAGCTTTCTAAAAGAATTGGCGATTGCTAAGACTGCTAATTATATTTGAACTATTAGTGAAATAAATTTGGCTAAACTATCGTCAATGCAGATTTTCCTTAGGACTTGGCAAGAACATTTGTTCGTCAATAATCCTGGACAATTCCCCGCACAATCGAACTTTTAATTTTCCCGCACAATTTGCCTCCAAAATCATACAATGATATTTTTGTTTCCTGCACCCCACTAGAAAGCCAACTAACTTGGAGGTAAGATATTTAATTCAAGTTACTGAAAGTCTTATCTGTACAAATTTGGAGATCAACATATATTGTACGGTACAAGAAACAAGTCGCATGTTTTAATAAGCTACAAGCCCAAAAATGTTTTCATATTTAGCTCATTTTATTGCAATATGATTTGCTTTACTGCCATGTTCTAAATAATAACAGCAGTAGCTACATACCATCATTGAGTGCCTATTTTTTGTCAGTGTTTTCATAGTTTGAACTCATACCGCAATCGGCTCAATTGTTATCTCACGAGAACATTTTGAAAGTGAACTTTGCTTTCCTGGCTGGCTTTCAAGTGATGTAATTCGTGGACCAACCCTTTCCGAAAATGATCGATATCTTTGTACATGTATGTGAGATGAACATATAAGGCGCAATTATTGCCAAAACTTTCTTCACAAAACATTGTATTCTTCCATGAAGAGCAAGCAATGTCGAGTTCTCTTCCCCAATTTTTTCCACGGTCTACGCATGGAACGTCTGGGACCATGATCCCCCTTTTGGCAACTAACAACGGCTTGCATTTTATGACTTGGGCTTTCCTATGGAAGCCGGAGTGAAAAACGTGACCTCAATGAGCTCTAAACTTGAGCCCACAATATGGTCACGTCATACTCTGTCAGTGGATGCCTTGTTTTGATAGGTATCAATTGATCATAACATGGATGTCCAATATCAAAGACATACCTTGTAAAGCAAGGTTGCATGTCACAGTCAACCTATAAGCTGGGCTATGGCTGCCATGTTGTACAACGTCATTGTCGTTGTTGTGCGCACGCACCTACGAGCAATATTGCTAGCCATTTTTACCATGAAAAAAGTGATTTGTGGGCTCCTATGAGTATGGGGCTATGCTCCTCTATCTTTTTATATTATTGCTTTGTTTGAAGGAATAAAAATATGGAGAGAGAGAGAGAGAGTTGACATTATTTTCCTTGTTTATTGAATTACTGATTAAGTTGCAAGTTATTGTTTTCAGATTTGATGGGGAAACATCAAGGATTGAAGGGAGAAAAAAACCTTCTATACCAGCACATGTACACGATGACCCTCATGAAGATGGTATTTATCTGATAAAAATATTATATACAGGGTTCTCATTAATTTAGGGAGTAGACAGCTTGCTTCATGAAGTAGACGGTTGACACCAGTTTTGAGTGCCAAAGGCACCAGCCCCTAGTGGAGTCTGGGGGTGTGCCCCCCCCAGAAAATTTTGATATCGAGAGGCTCTGAAATACTATGTCATGCATTCTCTTGGATATATTTCCTCAAAAATGGTAAAGTTTGATAAAGGCCAAAATGCCAAGAATTTTAAGGGACAGAGCGGGACATGTGCTTTTGCTTTCAGTGGGTAGTGTTTCCACCGGAATTGATGCTGTAGATGTGCTTGGCATGATACAATCCACACTGGTATTGATCGATGACTCCACTACTGACTGTTTGACTCAACTACTGATTCTTTGAGCACTTCCGCTGCTTTTTTCTTTTTTAGAAATCCCATCATTGTGGTTTGCTGCATCGGTCTTTTTGTTGAGCGTGAGTTGGCCATTTTCAACGTTTGTAGTACAAATAACAAATGAATCAACTCTGTACATAATCGAGATGCATGCTGCGTTTGGTTTGTGATTGTGGGCGCATGTATGCAAAGCAATATGGCAGTTTGTTGGCAAGGTAAACACGAACCAGCTAGGGATCAAAACAGACCTTAAGCAGCAAGAAAATGTTAAGGCTAATTTTATTGTGCAATTCAAAAATGGCTTAGAAGGAAGTTGTCCCTTTTGAAGGTAGACATTTTTATTTATTTTCATTACTCTTTACAACTTAAACACAGATTATTTCACAAAAAGTAGGTGGCTCAGAAATCGAAGTAGCCGGTTCTTGAGCTGGTGGCCAGCACTTAATTAATGAGAACCCTGATTTATAATAATAATTTTCAATAGCATTTCACATTAAATAAAAAGAGAGCTATCAACTGAAGTCAGCATTCTTTGCTTCAGAGGCTGCTTGGTCATTGCAATTTGGGACATGATTACTCAGTGGCCAAATTTACACTGTCTAGAGCCAGGTTGTCTATCTGGACAGATTATCCATCTTAAGTACTTATAATCCATCTAGGTATAAGACAAATCCATCTATTGTAAGTATAATACAAATTTCAATGGATACGGGTTTAAGACCACGTGGAAGCATGGCAAGAGAATGCTATCAAAAACAATATGGTGGCACTCGTAGTGTTGCTGACAAACAAAGCAAGAAGATGAGAATTAGACACAGCAGCACACTGTATATCAGAGAAGAACATCCTCTGTCCAGCGTATGCCTGAGTCGGAAAAAACTTAATAAACTTCACATTACCCTTTTCTCTAGGAAACCTAGGAAAACAATTTAAGTAGAGATGAGAAGTAAGAAATGGTGGGAGGAAGGCCTTCAAATAATGGACACACCCTTCATTTCAGTCTTGGAGAAAATTGAACATTTAATTACAAAGGAAACAACAAGGTTTAAGAAACCTAACCCTACATTAAAACCCATCTTTGTTTTTCATCTAGATATAAATTTAGAGACAAATTATCCATCTTAGACAAATTATTCCTCTGTCAGCCTGTCTTGAAGACAAGTAATGTAATATTATTTCAGCAGAAAGTGACGGCTGGTGTACAGATGAATTTTCTGATGACCCTGATGAGGAAGATGAGGTACAAGTTTCAGTCAACTCTTTTGTTGCAATTACATGCAACTTAATTAAGCATATATTTTTTACATACTATAAAATATCAAATGTTGTGCGGCTCCAGAAAATACCGATACCCACCCTAAGGAGGGTTTACTGATTGAAAATTCCAAGCAGGATTGGCCTCAAAGGCTATGTTCAATTTTTCAAGGAAAGAATATGAAACAAAAATTTGTGCAAGTATTATGTACAGGGTCTGCAAGCCCCTCTGGAAGAGTTCATTTTGCAAGTAAGTTAAAGGAAACACTCCAAGCACTAGGCTGGCTGTGTTACACATCGCTACTGTTTATTGTCAATTGATCGGAACATGTGAATTAGATACTGTATGCTCTACGAAAACATCTAGTTGAGCATTTCCCTGAACACACTTTAAAATTAATAGATTACGTCTAACTTGTCAGATGACCTTCCTGTATGACCATGTCCCTATGAAACTGTGGTGCAATTTCTCTTGAAGGACCATTTAAATGTGGATGAAACTGATACCATAATTTTATGGGAGATCAAGGAAGGAGAGGGCACCAGAATTTCAATGAAGATGTTTTTCTTAAAATCTACTTGCATTTCCCAAAATTTCAGGAATTAGAAAAATGACTGTGATTAAAGATCGTTTAAAAACATTCATGCAAAATAACATATTAAGATTCTTTAAGATAGAGCTTTTGCAAAGTAACCTAAGAAAATGTAAATTTCAGCTCAAAATCTTTCTTACAGATTTTTAAATTTTATTTTGTTCGAATGTCTTTTCCTTGCAGAAAACTGTCAGTAGTAAGCTACCTTAACTTACAATTAGTCCATTAATTTTTATTCTGTCCTCAGGAGGAACAAAGTGATGATGACTCAGGCGGAGAATACATTGAACCAGAAGGAGATGACACTCTTAATCATACTCCAGGTGAGTTCTTAATTAATTTGAAAACTAATAATAATAATAATAATGATAATAATAATAGTAATAATAATAATGATGTAATGTAATAATAATAATGTAACTGTGCAGTCATTCTGTTTTCTTACCATGTACATGCACAGCTTTAGAATTCTATGGTGTTGGATAGTTTTTTTTTTTTTTCGTTCACCTCCCCAGAGTTTTCTTTTTCTGCCAGGTGATAGGTGATTTTCTCAACATGTTAACCCATTGACGCCTGTGCCGCCCGTAACCGCCCGTGCGAAAAACTCCTCCATTTCCCTGTGCCGCCCNTACCTTGTTGTTCAGCGTCAAGTTTTAGTTTAAGAAAAATCTGTAAGCATTCTTTACCCATCACAGAGCGGAATGTGGCAAGTCGTATTTTCTGCTCCTGTTGGTCAAGGCCGGTGGCGACTTCATAGTCTGTCCATTGCTGCCTAAAGAATTCCCAGTTGTTCACTGGATCACCCTTGACATTCATCGGGGCAGGTACTGGGAAATTCGATGTGAATGTGAGAGCACGTGTGGGGGTGCCGGACGTTGCAGGCGGATCGAGTATTTCGGCGAACGGCCTGCTTGTGACTTGTCTAATGGTACTACAACTTTCATGCCTAAGGAGGCGGTTAGGTAGAGCTTGTCGTACTTTACACTTCTGACACCATGTAAAGAGAGGGACGCACACACTTCTGAGTGTAGGTTGAAAATGCGTTTTACTCTAACCACGAGACCCTAGATATAACGGTATCTCACAATCATTTAAGTGTCAATCAAATCCATCAGAAATGGCGTATATTGTAACACTGGGTGAGAGGGAGGGTACAAGATTTGGCTGAAGGAAATAATTAACTAGTTTTATCTAATGACAAAACACTCAAATTGGATAATAGCAAAGGTTCAACTCAGGCCTCCTGATGTGGAGTCCAACATGTTAATCATTAAGCCACTGCACTTGCATGTGCATTTACTTCCCTAACAGTTAGGGAAAACCTTAGCTCTTACTCTTGACCTAGATTATACAAATAATCATGATGATATTTACTCATACATTCAATTGCATCTCTCCAGGTTCACCAAGTAAGGAAGTTGCTAGTGTTCCCCTTGGTCTGGTAAGATATTTTGTCAACTCCTTGATGGAACTCTGTTCAAAATAATTAATACAGTAACTATGCCAGAAAGCAGACATTTAGAAATGGACCCAGCCACATGTAAACACAGCATTTTTAACCTGGCATAAGACAGCAGCTCTCTTACGTTGACGTCTTATTCTGGCCCCAGCCTGTGGGGTTTCACTGTCAGTAATATAATGTATGACATTAAAATTCATCATATGAAATATATTTTATTAATTAATAATTACATTTTATTTTACGGCTACATGTACTTGATATTCAGTGTTTGAACTTGTCAGTAGTGAAATCAGAACCCTCTCTGATCTATAGCAGTGTTGTTGTTGTGTATCATAATTTGCTTACAAGTAGACAACACGATGTAATCATTTCATTCATAATGACTTACATCATAATTATGATTTATTTTGTGTGTTTCTGAATAGGTTGCTCAATTAAAAGCAGGTTTGAATGGAACCATTCGAAAAAATGCTTTTATGGGTCCTCCCACAAGTCCACACACCAAGGTCAGCACAGTAATATTTAATTCTTAATATTAATTAATTATATCACATTATTGCAATAGATATTTCAACTCTCTAGTAAGTCACTACTGCGGCAATGACATACCACATAATGCAGTGATGCATCACAATATTTTTAATTGTATGGTGTGAATATCAAAAGTTGAAGTTGAATGAATGATTGAATGAATGTTGAATGTTTATAGCGGTTGATGCACTTAGCTACAACTAGCAAGTTTTCAGGCATGCCACTTAAACTGAAGAAACAAACATTGCAAATAAACACAACAGGCTTAAAAGTCCCAACCGGCAGGAGGCAGACTCAGTTGGTATCACTAACAATACTATTGATGGTACAAAAAAATTAGTGGTGACATACAGTCTGCTACCGGTACTTCACTTTTTTCTTTAGATGGAGTCCATACCAAAATAGATTCTTTAAATTGCCACAATCCAAATAGCAGAACATGTGGGGCCTAAGAGCAAATTATTGTTTTTAGTTGTAGCTTGCTGGGGAGTTGTTGCATATTGTATTGTTTATTATCATGGCCAATTTATAGAGATAATTAAGTATTGTATCATGGGAAACTCTATTATTGCAGCCTTGTTACTAACTGGGTGGCCTGACAGATGGAAATAGAATTTACATTTTGGTGTTCAGAGTAAACATTCAAGTTGTAACTTTTTTTTTTGTCACAGAATTTTCTTAAAGGATTAGAAAACCTGTTACAATTCCATGTTTCTATCAAGTTATAACATGAGTGGAATTTTGGGAAAACTCGAAAGGGCTTTTGAAATACTTGCACCATTTCTCGTTCTCCCAAACTTCCACTCATGTTTCTATGACTCTATAGTTTTACAATTTTTTCTATTTCTTATTGTAAATTAACTTGTCATGTTATGTTAAACTTGATATACGCTTGTGGTATTTATTTCCCTTTCAATAAGGAAGTGCATTCTCATTGGTCAAGGATATCTTATTTAACAATATTAGAAGTAGGGAAAATGATATTGTGCTGTGAATTGGACTGGCTTTGTGAGACCAATACTTTGAATGCAGATTAACATGCAATTAACATCAAGACAGATTTTTCTGTTCAAATTGTGTCAAGTTGAAAACTTCAAAATCCATTTTGAGATTCTTTTGAAGTAGGCATATTCAGTTTGTTGTGTTTCGACAAAGTTGAAAACTGAAAGTTGTTTATGGCGAGGATTAACTAGTCATGTTGAAATTTTGTAGCTACGGGTTTCAGTTTTCTCAAAAAGCAAAGGAGGAAAATGTTGTAAGTTACTAGGCTTAGCTGTTATTTTTAGCTGTTTTGGCAATTGTGTGAGAATTGATTCTCTTGGGTATACCTGATTGGTTATTGTAGCTTCAAGAAGGTGTTATTATGCAGGGATTTAAGTTAATCACACAATTTGACTTTCAGACTACTCCATCACCATTTGAAGATGAAGAAGATCAGATATATGATGAACCACCAGATGGTGAAGAAGACGGTAGGTCAAAGTGTCAGCAAAGTGTTTTAATTAGTATTCATCATTCTTGTGACATTTTATAGGTAAGCTGCAGGGCAGAAAAAAAACCAGGTCAGTTGAAAAATGAATGTAAGACTTTATTTAAGTGTCAATAGTATTTAGCCTTGGGGACACTATTTACACAGTAAAATATAGCTTAGCGACATAAAGTTAAAACTATTTAAAATTTAATTTTTATTTACTTGCCCCAAGTAAATTTTGCTCTTGGGCTTGTGAAAATCAAAGTTTGGTAGTCTGGTGGGCAAGTGAAATTAGCCTCAGAAGCCTTGTTAGTTGATAAGGCGTGAACATTGTACACCTATTAGGTAAGTGATATTTTACTGGGAGCTAATGAAAAACGAAATGTACTGGCCCACTGGGCAACTGGATTTCAAAACTGTTTTTCCTTCCCTGAGCTACAAGTCATGTCGCCAAGGACTTCTTGTTTTATCTGCTGAAGAAGTGATCTAAAGGATCTATGTTTATGAAAATAGGATTGACCGTTTAATGATTTTACTGGTTTATATCTTAACAGCTGTAGAAACTCAATATGTTTTGATACTAATGCCTCAAGAAATGATTGAGGCTGTGGAATGTGGTCTGTTTTCTTCACTTTAAGATTCCTTCTCTTTGTGACTGTAGACTCTTGATTAAGACTAGAAAATTAGAAAGAAAATTCAGTGATAATAATGAAAGGCCAATTGATGATAAAATAGAGCCAAAACACAGCTTATCCATGCCGGTACGTCGTGGCTGGAGTAATTTGTATACTGACAGACCAATATTAATGATATAAATTAAAAATGCAAATTTAATCACAGTATTACTGAAACTAGAAACCTTTCAATTTCCAGTATAAGGATTGAAAGCGGCTGCTTGTTTCACAACACAGATAAAATACTGATAGAAATAATCTTCCTCTGCAGTTATATATACACACAAAGTTAAAATACGCGCAAATTTTTTTTCAGAGTTTGTTATTATAAGACTCTATAAATATAATTCCAAGTCACTTAATAAAACAGTGAATTACTTTATGTTATGAAAGAATATATAAAATGTACATTTAAACTTCTTAAATGTCATGAAATAAAGCATTTAGTCAGTTGAAGCAAGTTTAAATCAGGTCATAATAGAGTGTTATTGAAATTGTCCTCTTTTACTACTGAATTAACGCTGATTGCTTGATCCTATTTTGCTTCTGAATGTTCCATTTTGCAACATACATGTAGGCTGTTGATCAAAGATCTTTGAGCAGTGTCTTATTACTTAATGATATGTTCCTCTGATTTTACCATTGCCAATATTTTGCCCAAATTAACTAATGTGCAATGACTTCTTATTATTTCTTCTTTTCAGAAGTTTATGAACAACCGAGTGATGATTCTGGAGGAGGTAGGGTATTATTATTATTTTTTTTCACATGTAGCATTGTTAGTTCATTAGCTCTCCCTTCACACAATTAATTTTAGTCTTTTCTCATCATGTTTCCAGATAGATTTTAAATACAAGGTACCCATAGGGAATTCCTGTGGGTCAAACATATAAGCCTCAACATAATCATCAGAACTTTTCTATTGTTGCTTGGGTCATGTAACTGACCTCATTGGTTGTTCGACCCATTTGACCCTCTCTTACATGGTACACATCCTCACAATACAAACATTCTGTGAAATTTGATGAATAAATTTGGTGTTTATTTTGTCTGATTTGTGCTGTTAAGGTTACTATTGAATTGACTGGTTGCTATTATTCCATTTTTTTAGGCATTGTAGTCCGCCCAATGTCGCATAGGAAAATAATAAAATGTGATTCTGACAAGGGAGAATATCTTGACGCAAGGGTAAGAGTTCTATTTTATATTCTTTGGTTTCCTTGAGTTATTAGTGAGAGACACAGTAGCCTATAGTGGTCAGTGTGCTTACATGTATGTAAAAGGGAAAGGTGCATATAATTTTATGTCTGATACATGACCAATAATGTGCACTCCATCTCAAAAGTTACATTTGCTGGGGATATGTTAAGTTACAAATGGAAGTAGTCACTGTGTTGGTAAATTAAGCCTTTGAAGCCCAGTGAGTTCATATCTTTCAGTAGTTAAACTCTGCCTTCTGTAACATGAGTGGTTAGGATTATTACCTCCCCCTGGATCGGATGCCAGTTCCCCACAGGTTACCACTACCCCACATTCTGTCCTGTTTTCCCAACAGTCCATTTGTGCCCATTAGTATTCCTGGGTGCAGAGAAGAAATGTAACAGTAAATTGTCCTGCTGCATAGTGCAACACATTGGCCCCTGCCAGAGCTGGAACTCAAAGTCTGGCACACTAACCATTAGCCTACTTCAGTGCCTCCCAAATGAGTAGAAATCTGCATGTTATAAAGTTTTGTCACCTGATTAACAACTGCATTGCTAAATGGAGGTTGGGTGCCAGCTGAGACATCCAGGAGCTTGGCAGCCAGCTCCTGGATGAAGACCACTCCCATGGCTGGCAAATCCTGGAAACCGAGCCATGAGCCTCCATGCAGGGCTCAAAGTTAACGACCAACTGGTCGCTTTTGCGACTAGATTTTTGGCTGTGCGCCTAAAAAATCATGTGTGGTCGCACCACCGCGCCTTAAAAGTCAAAGTACAGTCCGACTTCTCTAGTGCTTACTCACCCGACCATACTAATGTACTCAGATTGATAAATATAAATATAAACATAGATATAACACAACCAGGCACCAGATAATAAAGTTGCACCATTTTCCTTTCATCGGTGTGCGTTCTATTCGTCGTCTTTAAGCCTAATTTCCCAGTGGATTCTCCGAACTCGAACGTGCATTTCTTCCCCACGTTCTGTGTTGTAAACAACTCCGCTGACACATGCAAATGAAGGAATGAAGCACATGCTTCTTGGTCACCAAATGGGGGTCATGGTGCCAGGCGGTCCCAGCGGAAAGCGTGGAAACTGGGGATAAGATTGAATCGTGTGCTCGTTCTTCGCGAACAACAGTTACAGAAAGCTTTGTTGTCGCTTGTCTGACACACAAAAATGTCCAGCGTTTCTGGAACGGGACGGTCCACGAATTCTATGGCTTGAAAGCTGGCCAAATGTGCAAAGTTTGTGCTAGTTCTCACGAATACCCGGATGATGAAAAAATCAAGAATCTTCGCGAACAGAATTTGAAAGGTGAGGCAAACAACAAGCAACTGGATAGTGAGGATACTCAACGAAGTGACTTCAGAAGTTAATATCTAAGCTTTACTCTTGTGTGAAATATCCTGATTCTTTTATTTGTTTTTGTTGTGTTCAATACTGCTAGAATAGGCCCATATTGCAACACGAAGCCTGAGTCACTCTTTTTGGAGCGTTAAGTATTCTTTTGGGGTAGGTGCTCCAAGTATTTGAAGCTGTGCGCCTAAAATTTTTAACTCTGCGCCTAAAATTTTGGCAGTGTGCATAAAAATTTACACCTGGTCGCACAAGTGCTCCCAAAGCCAAAAATAAACTTTGAGCCCTGCCATGTGGAAGGGGAGACAGGCACCTGTCACACTGAATGTACAGTGGAAAGAGGGAGGGAAGGGAGGGGAAATGCTTGAGAATGTGCTCCCATGCAAACACTCACTGTAAATGCTATGTCTGTGAAGGCTGCCAACACACTTTTTAGTCCAGGAGCACATGGAGTCCTGGTGCATGTGTATATCAAAACACCGCTGACCACTATGGGAATGCAGGCGCTCTTTGTTGTTAACTCCATTAAATTGTGTGTAACTGCATATATTTAATATATATTATGATCATTCTTTCATCAGGCCCCAAAGTACGTCGACAAAGACAATGCAGCAGGTACGATAAGATTGCCTGTTAATTGTCCTTTTCTCTGAAAATAATTGCAGCATTTTGAATTGTCACTCCATCTTTTGTTTATAATCTACGGAACATTTTGTTTAGATATATGAGCTTTTGGGCCAGGTTGTTCAAAGCTCAACTAGGGTAACCCAGGATTAGTGAGAGGGTTTCTTATTTCAGTTTTGAAACATTTCAGTTAAGTTTCTGTTTATATAATAAACTTATTGCTTTTCCTTCAGTTTTGAATTTGAATAATCTCAAACTACAGAAGACATAAGCAATGAAAAACATTTTAAATTTATTCAGACAAGAAAAATAATACTTTGGTTAACTTTTATTTCTGGGTCAGTGTTAACTGACTTTCAACAACCCTGCCATGGTCTTTACAGTTAATTAATAAACCATAGCCACAAACATTATAAGATTAACTTTTTGTGTTCATTTACTGGTCAGGAAATTTGTGCTTCAGTGAAATATTGTAACTATGCACAAGTTTGTTGTGTTACCACAAAAATAACAGTTTGGCTGTGTGATCAAAACAATACCAATGCATGTACATAGGCCCAACTTGAGATTAAAGAATTTTTTTATGATTAAACCTCACAGTTACCACAAACTTTTTAATTTACTGTAAATTATTTGTTTTTTTGGAAGGTCCTCCTCCTCCTCCTCCTGGCCGGCCTCCAAAACCTGGAAATTTAAAGGGAAAAAAGCCTATGCCCCCACCAGCGTCAATGGAGCAGGTTTGAGATTGAAATTTCAGGTTTTGAGAACTGCTAAAGACTAATGATCATTTGAGGTTTTTGGCATGACCAAAGCAGAGCTGAACACTGCAACAACAGCTGGTTATTTGACAGTGGCTCTGCAAAAGTTTGCCTTTCTTGGAAATGGTTGTATATAATAGGTGCAGTTACACACACCACAATAAATGGCATTTGCCATGGTAGATCATCCCAGGGTGCATCACTCAAGTTTGGGTTTTAGTATACTGTGTTTACGACCAGTTACACACTATTTGTGATTTGCCAAGGTAAAAAAAATAAATTTGGCGGACTTTCAGAGTGAGCAGGACTTTCATCATGGAAACTGTGGAAATTAGGGTGACAACTGTGATATACAGGATACAGTACAAAGCTGGATGGTCCAGGTTGATCCTTCTTTAATCCTGGGTGCTGGTTTTGGTTAACGAAAAAATTCATTGTACTGTTCAGCATCGATATTCAAATTTCTGTGAAGGATAAAATTATTGGTTTTAGTCATTGTTTAAGTAACCCATCTAACAAACAGGTTGAGAGGTCACCTGAAATACACATGATACTCATAGCATTGCCGAGATCATGCTGTACAACAAGTATCTATGATGTTGAAGTTGTTCCTTCAGTAAATATGGCGCAAATGAAACCTGCTATGAAAAACTACTTTGATTTCCTTTGCGGTATATGAACAGAGCATCATGATTATCTCTTGTACCTTGGGCATCAAAACACCATCATGGCAACTTACCACCTTAAGTGGCATCCATGTGTGCTTCATGTGATCTTTTTGGTGTATCCATGGATATCTATGGATATTTACCAAAGGAAATTTACCTCTGTCAGGAAATGTTGGTCACACTCACTAAATGCAGTTTCCTGTGGTGGTGGTTACATGTATTTACCACGGTAAAGTGCCCCATGTAACCACACCTAGTGAATGTTAACTAACAAGAGATACAAGTAGTGTTAAATTATCTGCCTGTTATCCGAATAACTCGATAAAGATGTGTTGTATGAAGTAAGCTGTTCTCTTGATTATGGGCTCTAAGTTTCGGTAGTGCCAATTATTGAGCAGGGTTTTCACAAAGGACCAGGCTCCAGACAAATTGATTGGCTGTCAGAATTGCCCACAGCAAAAGTGGATGACTTATTAGGGATGGTTTTCATGACATCAAACACTTCTTTCAGTGACATTTAATACCTCTGAGGAATAAAAAAGATTTATTTATAATTTAATATCCCTGAAGGATCAGTTGAAACATGGCGTGCGATATTAACTGGTCTATTTTTCCTTGAATTATTATTTTGAAGGAAATTTATGACGAGGTGCCAGAAGACGATGAAACAGGTAGAACGCAAGTTGTTGAACCTGACCAAGAAACATATGAGGTGCCAGATGATGGAGGCCAGGATACTGGGAATTCACAACATGATCAGTCATTCTCTGAAACGTATGAAGTACCTGATCAAGCTGATCAACAAGAAACGTACGAGGTGCCAGAAGAACCAGGTGTGTGTACAAGCATTCATAGCTAATGAATTTGTTGTATACGATCCTCCTCGTTCAACATATTTACATGTGTGCTATCCAGGTGCATGTACCAGCCACCCTAATTTCCACAGACCAGTGAAATTCCTTTTTGGCTAAATACGTGTAGCTCTATATTTCCAATGGCTGTCTTGGTTAGTAAGATATTTTCAATCTCAGAAGTTTAATAAGTATTTATTTAATAAAGCCATTTTTAGTTCGTATAGTGTGATCATCCGGGTGAGGGTAGTTCTGAAAAGAACTGTTGTTGGTGAGTGACGTTTCGACAACCTGAGCTGAAGTCATCTTCAGAGTCAAGTGAATAGTGTTTGTCAGGCAATGATGTTATAAGTCTGGTCCATTCAACGTGATTGGTCAGTTTAGCCATGATGGTATTGGCTGAAAGACTTCCGTAAAGTTTGTCACACTATTCACTGAGCTGAAGATGACTTCCGCTCAGGTTGTCGAAACGTCAGTCACCAACAACAGTTCTTTTCAGAAGTACCCTCACCCAGACGATCACACAATACGAACTACTGATACTCCTGGGTGGAAACCATTTACTAAATCAATTTTTGTTATTGACAAATTGTTTTGCTGTCAATATTCTATCTTTAAAAGCTTGTGTTATGAGTGAGTCTTATGATAATATTACATGTACTTGTTAATAATTATTTATGTAGTAGAACTGTTTATTAATTATTAATTACAGAATAGAATGAGATAAGTTATGCAGTATAGTACATTAATTAGATTAACAGACTATTGAGTTCTTGGAGACAGAGAGTTCAAGAATTGCAAGTTTAATACAGTACACATTTGGTATACAGTATTGCATGCAAAATGTCTACTAGGTGTATTAAAATCGTGTTATTGAATTATCCTCAATAATCAGTCAAGTTCTGAATCCAATTCACCCCTATTTTGTAATAACATTATATCACATGTTGGACACAGGTATGCTGTCAAAAGTAGCCAACTGAAAATAAATGTGTTACACATTTGTGTTTGGACCATTCGAGAAGCTACTAAAACATTCTTTTACTTAGCCTGTTGCTCTTTTATTAGCTCTATTTTATAATTATTGTAATGCATCACTGTTACTGTCTTTGCTTGTAGCACCAGCTCGGCCACCACCAAGAAAACCAGGGGGTGTGTTTGGATTGAAACCTCCAATGCCACAAGTTGAAAAAGCTAAAACACCATTGCCTAAAGAAGTACCAAAACCAAAACCAGGTAATCATTGATTATATTTTATATTTTATAATAATATTAAATACATTTAGTTAATAACAGTAATCTAAGGCAATTAATCACTGGTCCTAAGAATGTGATCATAAGGAATATATTTGCCACAGTAAACATCTAATAATAAGGTGGCTATAATTTGAATTACATTAGATACCCATATGGGAAAATATCATTAAAACAGCTATGGAAAGTTGGATTTGTACTTGAATTTGTATTCCAGATTAGTATGCACTGGAAAAGCAATAAGTTCTTGTTTAATATTAGGGATACAAATACGGCCAGTTCCTTGAAACCCATCCATTCGTTCAGTGTGTCAATGATTTCTAATTATTATACATTTAACTCACTATCTCTTTTCTGATTGGCCGAAAGCATACAGTGAATTATCAAAATCAGCGACTGTGACGTCATCTAGCTGCAGATTATACAATTATCATGTCAAGGACACTCAAGGTCATGGGTAATCATGTCATGTATGAGTGTGGTGCATGATTTCTAAGGGTAATCGTGTCAAGTTCAGACGCTTTGTGTTGCGTGCCATCAGTGAAGAAGCAAAAACATGACTTCCATTTTTTTTCGTTCAATGTGTAATAAAACAATTATTAAATTCGGTTTTTGTGATATCCAAAATAATCAAGGTCTCGGTAAGGGTTATCAGCCTCAACCTTTGGCTTCGGCTGAAAACCCCTACCTTGACCTGATTATTCTGGATATCACAAAAACCTCATCCAACAATTGTTTATAATTATGTCTGGTGGGACAAGATGAGTAATAATTATTATTACCCATCTTGTCCCAGATGGTTTTTGTTTTCTTTAAACTAAGCTTAAGAAACAGCTACTATAATCAGTAATCCCCCTTAACTCAAGAAGATGTTTTCCATTTGGCCCTTCCTTAAACTAAATACCATTTACTTAAAGATACTCTCTAAATGCAGTCTGTTGATCATTCATGTGAACTACCTGTGATGCCTTCTTATTCTGCCCTGTCAGCTGTCAAACCTGCAATAAATCCTAAACCTCAAATCAGCCCAAAACCAAATACTGCTGGTCCTGCTCATAACAGTCCAAAGCCAAATCCTGCTGGTTCCGCTGGCCGAACATCAAGACTTTACCCAACACCTAAAGATACAAACACAGGTCAGAATGCAATACTAACAGTAGAATTAGGGTTAGATCATTATGGCGTAATGCCAAGGACACACTCTTAAGTAGTCATTTTATCTTTCAAAAACCAGAGAAGCACATTGAAGTGGACACTTTTCCCAGTGTTTTCAATCAGTTTTAACATGAGTGGCTCCCCGAGGCCTGGTCCATCAACCATCAGAGAGCAATAATAGAGGAACAGAAAAACTTCCTCTAGAGGGTCATGCAATTTTTGAAATCTGCTCACATTATACTGGGGTCTGTCAACAGAATGTACCAACCAGATCTCTAGCATGTCCCCCTTCTTATTATAAGCACTGCTTTTTCTGTGTGGACTTTGAATGTTTGAATGGTTAATTAATTACCTTCTATTTTAGTGAGGATTTCATTTTCTTAACATTCATGATACATGTAGAAACATTACTTAGAAAAGTTACTGTGAAAACGTTTTATGTTTACTTAACCAGCCTATTTTGCATGCTTTTGCATACTTCTCTGTCCATAAGTCTAGAATTTGCGATGTTCTCATGCAGAACAAGTTTCCTGCATGATGCTTACATTACACGTATTGTGATGTTTTGAATTAGTACAGTAACTGTGGTTTTTGGTGACATATGTTTTCTTTTGAATAACCTTTTCTAGTTTCTCCTGAACCACCATCACCAAAAAGGTTGTCTGGGCTGCCTCCACCTGGATCAAGACCTGCAGTTATTCCTCCCCCATCACAAGAATCAGAGAGAAACAACAATGAGATTCCTAAAAGTACTTCCTCTCCAAGGTGAGTACCTGTTAGCAGTGCAGATCGATTTGTAAGTTCTGTTTTCCATTTGCTGACAAATGTTAAGGTTTAGGTCATGAGAATATTGAGCTGGATCGTATCAAGTATAAAAGTCTTGATGCGGGTCCAAATTCTCCAAAGATAAATTATAGAAAATGTATGGAAGTCAGTACAGAGAACTGAGATTTTAATTAAAGAAAACACAATTGATGATGAAGTTAAATGTAGTTGTGGGATATTTTACCATGTTAACAAACTACAGGTAGAAAGGGCAAGATACCATAAATGTTCTGTACTCTAATGTGAAAGTTTGAAATTATAAAATATACTGCTCTTTAAAGTGATTGGTTACATTAATTAACAGGATTCAGCCACCAGGTAGGAGACCAATTCCTCCTCCAGTTGATGACACACCCCCTCCCCCACCTAGGCCTGGCGTTAAGGTATGTTACTTAACGCATGAATTAACTTTTATGTGTGCAAACTGGTCCGTAATGGAAAGCACCATGCTGATTGGGTCTCTGAGTGGTCAGAGCTTTGCAATGCAAACCCATAAGATTGACAGGTCATAAATTAATAAGGTTGCTGTTTTGCAATAATAATTATTTTCTGACATTATACAAATTAAAGAAAACTGTTCTGTGTAGCAGTTGCTCCAGCTTAGTAGTTAACTGTTACTGCAGTTAGTTGGCAAACAGACTGTAGTCTAGTATTTTATTCTCTTACTTAGCTGTTTGTTTGTATATGTTGTTGCTGACCTTGTCAAAGTGGTGTCCACGCTTTATGATCAAACCCATCGACAACCTGTAATATTAGATCATTTTGTCATTTTGGGATCCAAACGTTTGGCTATCGTCGTCACAGCTATGGTGGTTACGAAATGGCAAATAAAACCTTGCGTTTGTAGCCTTCAGAAGACCTGATCGTTAGATATGTGCATGTAAACAGATTTATATAGATCTTTCTTTGTGAGAGTTTCAGTGGAAATTTTAATTTGGTCGAACCAAACAAATAGCTGATGCAAAGTAAATTATTGTCTGAGTTTTGGTGGTGAGCTCCATGAAGTTAATTAGGTGCTAACAATATTTTATCATATGTTGATGGATAATTTACCAGAATTGTTGTTTTAATTTGTTTTTACAGCCACCACCTCTTAAGCCTCCAAGACTAAGGTTTGTTTGAAGTTAACAATTTAAGATTTGCATTGTTTATTTTTAAATTTAAAGACTAAAGAGTATTAACCACGAATTAGAGTGGTCTGCAGTCTTATTCCACCCCTTGCCATTATCCTTTATTTATCATTATATTGTTGTGAAGACATGATTGACCATCGCAGTTATGCACGCAACTTAAGTAATTGTGAAATTAAGCATGAAAAAAAATTCAGGCCTGAACAAGATCCTAAACCATGACCTCTGCCGCTCTGCGGTACCAGTGCAATGCTCTAATAACTGAGCGATCAAGCCAACTGGGAGCTGATCACATTGTCAGCACGATGTAGACCACAATCGTGTGCTTTCTGTCCTTCTTGATATGTACCTACTTCCCTGGTGCAAAAAAAAAAAAAAATAGAAAATAATAAAATAAGTAATCTCCAAGGTCGTTCCAAGCTGACCCAATGGTTTTCATTAGCAAAATTGCATTGACTAATTTCATTCTGATATAGTGACATGCTGACTTGACAATGTCAGTGAAAGTGTTTGTGCTATTTTTATTGTGCAAGGTTATTGTACTTGTTTCCATAAAATCTCAAACAGAAGTCCTTGTCATCAGAATTTTTTTTCCTGCTGCCTCTGAAATTTAGTGTTTTCAAGTGGATTTGTAACATTATGACCTTTAATCCGTTATTTTGCACCCCTTGGAAATGAAAAAATAAATTTGCATTTTGAAAGGGGTTTTATTGATTTGCAATGGTATGTTTTTCTGATTTTGTATTTTAATCATTTATTCTTGCAGTGACTCTGATAACCAAGGTGAGACATTTAAAAAAAGTTAACCAATATTAGTGTGTGTCACCTGTAGGTAGAGGATGGTAGTTCAGTTTTTAGGAGTGTTCTGTGGAATACGTTTATTGGTCTGACGTTTGATTTGTTCAAGAATTATCAACCCGGTACATTTAATGATTTCAGTATTTTATTTTTTAACGTTTTGTTGTTTTGTTGTTTTATTGTTGTGCGTATTACCCGTGTTGTTGTGCGTATTACCCGCGTGGAAACATGCATTTACCCTAGCTAACCATGAGTGCGTGTGAGATTCTGCAAGAACTTCACCTCTTAAACGTCAAGCAACTGAAAACCTGCTATAAACAACCAGAGCAGATCATGATTTGATAAGTAATATCTCAAACACGAGAGACAGTGTTTCACGGGGACATCCAGACACCGAGAAGAGAGTTGAAAATACGACGCGCAGCGTGGTATTTTTTGCCGAAATTCGAGGTGTTTGGATAGCCGGTGAAACACTCTCGAGTGTTTGATATATCTTCTCAATCGAAACGAAAACGAAGGAGAAAACAGACAAGTAAAATCGTCAAAATCTATGCTAATTAAGACCGGGTATCCCAACCTCCTCCACGGTTTTGATTTTCTTCGCTTAACTTGATGAATTATTAATGAGTTTTAGAAGAATAACTGAAAAGTTTTGGCATACTAAGTTGAAAGTGTGTGTTATATCAAACCACATTAAATGGAACATTATGAAAAGTTAATTAGCAAACTATTATCAGACTTCACTGGATAATAACCCAGATAAGAATGTTCTTTTTATATTAATTTCAGATGACCATTTTAACCCACCTGGGAGGCAATTACCAGCCACGAAAATGAATAAATCACCACTACCTGCACCACCTGAACCAAAGGTCAGCTAATGGTTCTGAATATCTACTTGTAGAGCAACCTTTCTTTTTGCAATAGAGCCTTTGAATCATAAGTGGCTGCTAATTTAAAATTCTTATGTATGCATTTAGATTAGCCTCAGTAACATTGTTTGAGATTATGGAGTTTTTGAATTATCAACTGAAAAACGAGGTTGGTCGCCATTTATGAAGAGGGTCTATTCAAGTGCTTTGAGACCCTTTGGGGTTTGCATACATGTTGGCGTTCAGTAGCCCTAGAGGTATAGCCCGTAAGCTCTAAAAAGGTTTTCCTTGTGCCGTTTAAGTGGTTCTCGCTAATCACCTGCCACCGCTAATTATCACTCGTCCGTATTCTGTTTCATTCACAATTTTCCAGGTAGGCTAACTTGCCCGTAGCATCAACCGAGCATTTGAAGGGCGCGTTTGGTTTTTACCTCTATAAGACGGATTGCCTGTCTAAAGAAATGTGTTTTTATGATGATAATGATAATTTACAGACCCATTTTTTAGAACTTTCTGGTGTCTTTCAACCTCCTAACAATAGAGAGAAGCTATGGAAGTGATTTTCAATGGTCACCATTGATTGTATATAAATAATGTTGGTATAAGACGAGGAGCTCAAGTGTTGATAATACCGTTTTTGAACTAATTTTTTTTCCTACATTTTTTTCAGGCTGTCGATCCGCTAAAACAGTCTCCTTGGTTCCAAGGACCTTTAGATAAAAAAGTAGCTGAAAGTGCATTAAAATCTTTCTCCAAGGTGTGCTTTAATGTAAAATTGTTTTCATGTAATTTTTTCTGACTTCTCTTCACTCGGTTTTAAACTTGCTGAGCTGTGTGATAGAACAAACATCATATGGCTGCAATAGACCATATTTGTATTCTCGGTATTGGACTAGAACTAGCTTGCAATGGAGGTTCATGCGGGGAAATATCTTTAAAAAGAGCTCAATGTCATTTACATTTGAAAAGACTCCCCGTATTAGCCTTGGTTACACGCTAGTTCCAGTCCAATACCGGGAATACGAATATGGCCTTTTGTACCGCATTTACAAAACAGTTTGTCTTCTCGTGCTGTCATTAGCCAAACCAGGTAGCACTCCTTCGTCACCAATTTCAATGTTTTCTGGCATCAGTCTGTGTAGTTTATTACTTAAGTTACCTCTGTGGTGCCTCTGTGTAACGTAACTGGTCATAGTAAAGATTTTTGTGCCAACTATAATTATTTCTAAAATGCCTTGCTATCAAGCAATTAGAATCAAGAGAAATACCAGAGCTAAGCCGGCATATTCTCCTCTATGTCTTAGTTAAGTCTTACATTTTTTTCCTCCTTCAGGAAGGGGCATTTATTGTGCGGAACAGCTCCAAAGATCAAAATAACTACTCCATGTCTTTCTTTTTCCAAGGGAATGTGAAACATCTCAGGTAACACGTTTGGTGTATTGTATAATTTGTCTGATTAGCTTGGGAAGGGACTGCTTTGAATTAGGGTAAGGAAGGATTAGTGGAGTCGATTGGCAAAGGGAGTATAGGCATCCAGTGGGAGCTCCTGAAAGTGAGAAGTCTAGTATATTGAACAATCTATGGGAAAATACGTGCCACGAGCTTTCCCCAGAATCGGTCCCGCAAGGGACTGCGGGAGATGACACTCGCCCCAGATTTTTCCTCGTTTCTGAAGTAGGGAATAGACCAATTTCGATCTATTAAAATTCAGCCTAACACAATAGACCTCAGTACGAGTCTCTGGGGAATAAACCCCACAAACTCTGCAGTTATTCCCCAGAGCCTCGTGCTGAGGTCTGTTGTTTTAGGCTGAATTTTAACATATCGAAATTGGTCTATTGCAATTCAAATCAATACAAAATAATCAACTTAGACCTTGTCGTTGTTGCAAGGGCGGAATAGCTCTTGTTTCCGAATGCTTTATCCGATTTTCATTTCTCTTTAATAACTTCTCCAATTGCCTTCTAACTAGAACGTTAGTTTCTTCTTCATACAGTCGTTATTTCAACTAATGAATTAACTTTTTTGCTTTATTTTTCAGAATGCCTCGGATCAATAACAGATTTGTGCTTGGAGACAGTGGGAAAGTGGTACGGTTCCCTTTGTGTAATAAACGTTTTATAATTGTATCTTGAGACATGGCTTAAACAGTTAAGAAATAAAAACATGTACAGTGTTTCTATCGAGTTTTCGTATAAATCTACTAGCGTTCTATCACGAATGCAATTCTCTGATTGGCTACGCTACTCACCATCTATTCTGTTTTAGTATAAATCTACCAGCGTTCTACCACGAATGCCGTTCTCTGATTGGCTACGCTGCTCACGATCTATTCTGTGTTAGTAGAATTCTACTAGTATACTATTGCAAATGCTGCAATCTGATTGGCTGAGCTACTCGTATACTATCAGCCATTAGTATCACCCAACTAGTGGNTATTCGCTCTCGTTTTCTATGCGTGATAGTTGACTCGGGCGATAGAAATCTCGAGCTTACAACCTAATTGTTTAGTAGATAGTGAGTAGCCTAGTAGTGTGCGCTGGTGGCCGCTTCTTTGCGTTTTCGAAGTGTCTCTGAATAAAATTTAAATTCAAGTTTTGAACAACTAGTAGATTTATACTAAAACAATTAGATTATTCGCTTTCGATTTCGATGCGTGATAGAAACACAGTTTTAAACTAATCAGCGCGCGTAATTTTGGGGGCCTATTTTCTAATTAGTGTTTGGGTAACAGGTTTTTAACGGACTGGTGAACAGACGGACAGACAGGCAGATGCACAGACCGACAGATGGATTGATAGATGGACGGGCTGACTGACTGACCGACTGACCATCAAAGTGACTGACACACTGAATCATGACTGACTGCCAAACTGACTGATGACTGACTGTCAAAGTGACTGACTGTCAAATTGACTGACTCACTGATTGACTGTTTTACTTTTATCCCTTCAGCAATTCAGTACTATAATTGAATTGGTTGACTACTACAGCCAACACCCTGTTGATCTGAAGTCAGGAGGCTCTACATGTCTTACTGCCGCATGCCCGGTGAGGTTATGATCAACCGACGGATTCCAGAAGATCCAATGTTATTAGAATTCCACTACTAGGTACCATCTGCCTTGCAGAGACAACCTGGAAATGTTTCTGTTAGGCTGTATTCCCGACTGAAGCCGGAGAGATGTCGAGGAAACGTCAGGTTTCAGTTTAACTTAATGTTACTAGTGTAAATATATTAATTGCACAAAGTGCTTGGTAATTTATCGCGTTGGAACATGTGGGGGCTATCGTTAAGGACGTTTATTGGTTTAAGAACATTAACGAATCGAGAAAAAAAACTTATGGTCTTTTTCTCTCATCAGATTCATTCATGCCTGTCATAATTATGTTTCAACTGAAAAACGGTCCCTATGTTAAATTTAAAAAAAAAAAAAAAGATCTCTAACGAGTAAACCAAACATACTTCATGTGTTTTCTAAGAACCAAATCCATATTTGAGTCCGAGGTCTCTTTTCTAAAGGATCTGATAGTGACATTGTTTTTTGATTAACGTTTCAAGCACTGCAAAACCAAGTTTGTATCCATTGAAGTAGAGAATATCATAAAGTGACGGTGATCACTCTANATCTGCCTTGCAGAGACAACCTGGAAATGTTTCTGTTAGGCTGTATTCCCGACTGAAGCCGGAGAGATGTCGAGGAAACGTCAGGTTTCAGTTTAACTTAATGTTACTAGTGTAAATATATTAATTGCACAAAGTGCTTGGTAATTTATCGCGTTGGAACATGTGGGGGCTATCGTTAAGGACGTTATTGGTTTAAGAACATTAACGAATCGAGAAAAAAAAACTTATGGTCTTTTTCTCTCATCAGATTCATTCATGCCTGTCATAATTGTGTTTCAACCGAAAAAACGGTCCCTATGTTAAATTTAAAAAAAAAAAAGATCTCTAACGAGAAAACCAAACATACTTCATGTGTTTTCTAAGAACCAAATCCATATTTGAGTCTGAGTTCTCTTTTCTAAAGGATCTGATAGTGACATTGTTTTTTGATTAACGTGTCAAGCACTGCAAAACCAAGTTTGTATCCATTGAAGTAGAGAATATCATAAAGTGACGGTGATCACTCTAATTCACAAGAATGTGAAGAATTAGAAAACGAATCACAAACTAAGATCCTTAAGATTAATGTTGTGATTTTGTACCAATTGAAATTGATGGCGTATTTTTTNGGGGCTATCGTTAAGGACGTTTATTGGTTTAAGAACATTAACGAATCGAGAAAAAAAACTTATGGTCTTTTTCTCTCATCAGATTCATTCATGCCTGTCATAATTATGTTTCAACTGAAAAACGGTCCCTATGTTAAATTTAAAAAAAAAAAAAAAGATCTCTAACGAGTAAACCAAACATACTTCATGTGTTTTCTAAGAACCAAATCCATATTTGAGTCCGAGGTCTCTTTTCTAAAGGATCTGATAGTGACATTGTTTTTTGATTAACGTTTCAAGCACTGCAAAACCAAGTTTGTATCCATTGAAGTAGAGAATATCATAAAGTGACGGTGATCACTCTAATTCACAAGAATGTGAAGAATTAGAAAACGAATCACAAACTAAGATCCTTAAGATTAATGTTGTGATTTTGTACCAATTGAAATTGATGGCGTATTTTTTAGGCATATATATGTTTTGTTTTTTTTAGTTTAAAAATGTGATTAAAAATAATTAGTCAGGGATGGATCTCATTGTTTGGGAGCGTTCATTTGTACTTACGGTTTGAGAAAGCAAATTTAAAGCAATGTATGTCTAGCCAATAGTTAATTGAGCAGATCTCGAGCTCTTGGTACTGAATTGACTCAGGAAAGTCGTAGAGAGTTGCTTAACCGATCGTAGTGAACAGGTTATCTTACCGTCCAATCATATCCAACCGTGAATTGACTTCCGCTGCATTTCCCGCGCTTATGAAAGGGTACACTTTATGTCATGTTCTGATTTGCACCGTTGCAAAGCAGAGCATTCTAGAATAGACGACGTAGTACAATTGTAGTGCAATTTTGTAGCGTTACTTAAAAAAAAATGAAGAGAAAAGAGAAAATGGACGCTCCTGGGTATCGGTTCCTTTTCGAGACGTTTGTTGAAACGCTAAGATAAGGTGTTTCACAAATGGTAGTATCATGAGAAAGTTTTTGTTTAATGGGCTAGTTGAAAATTACTCGTTTACCGCAACGTACACTCCAACGCGCATGAGATCGACATGACGAAACTCCAATTGTTGAGCAGAAGATGAATTTTTAGTTGCGTATGTTTTCTTTTTCCAGTAATTTTAAGAAGTTGTTTGTATTGAAAATCGCTGTTTCTTTGTTAGTACTTAATTGTATATCGTAGTGTATATTTTTTGCTCGCTTGGATTAATCTGTGATCTCTCATAACTGAAGTAAGCGTTGTCTCAACAGAAAAATAACTAAGTGAATGGAGTGGTCAAACCGCTTCGTTTTGTAAGTCAGCTAGGATAAAAGTCCCTTTTTTGTTGGCATTTGGAATTGCGTTTCTGAATTATAGGGTTATGAGACGTATTGGTATAATGAGAACCTCGACCCTAAGGTGTTCTTGAGGTAAATCCAAAATGGCGGAGAGACTAGTTGCCATCTTGAGCCGTGAACTCTGGGAGGACCTCAGTACAAGGTTGGCAACTGATGCGTTTTCTCTCATTTCAAAATTTAGGCTTGGTTTAAATCATTTCTTTTGAAAATGCGAATAGGTTTTTGCTTCAGGCCTTTATGTATTTTGAAAGAAGCAATCAGGTAAAGGAACGTAGGTTTTTCTTATCAAAACAATAATTATGTCTATAACATTTCCGTGTCTCCTCGTAAATAAATTGAGCCAATCTGCTACATAGTCACTGAGTTCGTTAAGACATATTTGCAGGATATATAGAATATTTTTAACAGAGTAAAGAAAATGTAGATAACCTTATAACTATATTTACGTCTCATTTTGGTAAACCAATAAAGATGTTATAGTTTGATATTTATAAGTTAATATCGACGCATCATTTTTGAGGACTTTTGGGCGAAATCTGCGAAAACAACAAAGCGTTAATAAAATATTACGCGCCAGCAGTGTTCGAGACGACCGCAGTGTTGAGATTCCCTTTACGAAATCCAGCACCCTCCGCCCTCAGTCCGCCGCCGCTTTGCGAGCTAATTTGCGAACTTTCAATGGAAGATGCCATCCGCCGCCCCACTGCATGCTTTGGAGGGAGGGGTACTCCCAGAAAAATAGGGGTGTGTGGCTGCTTCCCAAAATTCTTATCCTTTTTAAGACCAAAATCTGCGATTTTGCCACCCTATTTATGACCTGTTTCAGACCTGCCACATAATTAGTTCCCTAGTTCAGACCGACGTTAAACGAAGGCATTATGAAGGGCTTTTATTGATGGTCTTACTGATGAAAGGAGTAGCCTCTCAAAAAACATACCCAATTCAAGACTACAGTGCCAAAACCTTAAACGATACCCTATTTGAGAACAAAATGGCCAAAATCGATACCCTATTTCTAACTAGGCTCGATTACCATTAAGTGTCCGTTATATAATGTGGCAAACCCCCCCCCCCCCGGGGAGGGGGCACTTCCCTATATATGCTAAATAGATATGTGCAGCAACAAAGAGTATGGGTTTTAGCCGTTTTGGTCAGATTTTAGGTTCGTAGACCGGACACGAGAGAGCGGCGGAATTCTAGCCTAGCTAAATGGTTGCGGGGCAGCGCGAAAATCGGCGAGCGAAGAAACAGGGGAGAAGCGCAGCGCCGCGTTTCTCCCCTATGTTTTCGCTCGCCGATTTTCGCGCTCCGCCCCAACCAGAAACTGAAGGGGCGGACGCTTCGTTCGAGCTCTGCGGAGCCTGATCGTAAGCTACCATTTCCTCAAGCCGAGGCCCCCCCGGCTAAGAGGAACAGGTAGCTCTTGGAAAGCCCTGGGAATAAGAGTGAAAAGTAAGAGAAATCAAGATGGCGGCTATGCACCCAGCCGCAATATGGCTCATTATAGCCGCAGTTGTGGGGGTTGTTCTACTTATTGCCACATTAGTGGCGAACAGAAATCAAACGAAAAAGAAAAGGGGTAAGTTTATTATTGTCTCTTTAAATATTTCTACGGATAAGTTATAAGTTTTCAACCTTACAGTAGTGATACGTCAGCTCTATCATTAAAATGAGCTTAGCTCTGTTACGTTTATCCTCTGATCTACATGAAATGGAGAGGAATAAACTGATGAATAACAGTTACAACATTTAACGTTAATTAAGCCTTTTGATGTAGTCTGATAACATTTCATAATGATGATTGATCTTTTATATTTAGCTAGATGCTTATAAATTAAGGCACCAGTCGATTGAAACCCCCACCCCTTGGGTCCCGGGGAAGGGTTGGGGATTTGACATTGACCCCGGTCAAAGGGCATCAATATCCCTACCCCCTGAGGCCAGAGTTCAGATTAAATGCCCTTACCCCTGAAGCGAGAAAGTTGAAACTATCAAAAGTTTCAAGAATAAAGAAATGCATTTAACTGTTCATCTTCCAAGTTTACATGTATGCAGCGTTGATTATAATTATAAGTACAATACTAACTTCATATTCAGATATGTATGTCATATTTTGGAAAATTATCTGTGCTTTAACAGACTAAAACACTCTCTAACTTTTACAGCAACATCCTCATTTTGTCAGAGATCCAGAACCTTGCGGCTATCTTGGTATTGGAATAAAACCTGTAGAAATTGAAAGAAGAGAACAGTTCATGACATGAACCCTTCACCCTTCCAGATATCATTCGAATTTCAATGCAAATTACTTGCCTCAGATTGAATATCAATTGTAATGGATGATGAAGTGAAAGCAAGATATGTGTGGTTCAAAGCACTCTTACCTTTCTCATGCCCTCCCCTCATCTTTGAAGCTCCATACATAGAGCTAGTACCCAGTTTCTCTATTGCCAGTGCACCCCACATGGGAACGGAACCAGGAACCCAAAGTCAAAATTAGTCAAATAAACCACCCTCAGGGGACGGATTGTTGTTCAAAAGTGATTTAATGCCCCTATTATCCCCTACCCTTCCCCAGGAGCCAAAGGGTGGGGGTTCAATTGACTAGTGCATAACCTGAAAAACTTATCTTGTATTCTTCAATCCATGTGATAATCCTTATGCTGGTTATAATGTCTAAGATTTTAGGGATTATTGTTTTTTTTTAGGGGGGAAGGAGGTGGTACAACGAGAATTTTATGGTATAAGACAGTTACTAGATGTGAAATAGAGGATATTACATGCCCGCAACTTGATATCTCTCGAGTGAGCACAGCGAACAAGTGAGATATGGAGTTGAACACGAGAAGATAAAATTTGTATCCACAATTATATAAACATACTAACGATGACGTTTTTGACGATTTTTCAAAGATTGCTGACCCCTTTCAGAAGATTTTCGAAGTTTTACAAAATTGTTTCAAAAGCCAGACAAAAACTTCCAAACATTTCCAAACATTTACCAAAGATTGCTGTAGACGACTGAAGAAGATCCGAAGATGTTTCGATCATACATCAACAAATTTAAATGTAGTTAAATGTAGTTAAAGGGACAATAGAAAAATGTGATCAAAAAGGATTATGATATCTTCACAGTTTGAAAGATAAAAATGGTATCTTCACTGCGCACAATGACAATATGATTTTTTAGTAAAAGGAAAAATCCTGGTATTTCACTGGTGTTTATGTAATAAAATATAATATCCTTCTAACAGCAGCATAAAAACATTAACTTACTATTTTTAATTCAGAGGCTGGACTGCACAGTTAGTTCTATTGTTTCGAAAAGGATGCTGGCTCCTGATATTTTTTAAAGTATTCCTTTCTTTGAAATGTTTTGTTAAAAAGTGTGCCAATCTGATGAAAGTAAACTTATATTGCAATGCTAAACTACATGTGGTAGGTGACATACTTTTGACTGGTCAAAAGCACTTTCTGAATGGAAAGTTTCGCCATTGACAAGAGCATGAGGAAAGTGAGGGGAAATTAAAACTTTTTGGTTGTTTTTAGGTGCATCAAGCCAACAAGAACAGGCTGACAATGTCAGAGAGGTTGGTGGAGCAAGAAGACGTCAAAGAAATGCTCTTTCAAGAATGAGAAGAGCACAGAATGATGATGACGATGAGGAGGATGATTATGAAGGTGATACAGTTGATCTATTACACTTTAACTCGTAATACTTGAGAATAACATTTGGTGGTATATACAGATGTACATAGTTGTACTTGTGTCTTCAACTAGTTGGGGAAATAGTTTAGAGGGTAAACTTTTTTCATTTTGAGTTATCACTAAGGGCCTGTTTACGTGGAAAGAGGATGATCCTAGTGCTAGGATCATCCTAGAAGGTTCATTTGGTTTACTTGCAAAAACACGGCTCCTGGGATCAACTTTTCATTTGGTTTACATGCAAGATTTGTGTTCAGCGCGGTTGCAAAGCAAGATAGCAGGCGACAATGACAAAAGCGTAGTTTTGGGAGTTCTTCTCTCTTTACTGGCGTTGATAACTGCCTTTCAGCATCAATTTGCCATTATATAAANCAAAAAGATCGGTTAATGGGCCCTTAATGTCCAACCAAATTGGTGATAAATGACTGTATGTCTGGCCAAAAATAGAGATTTGTTGTAAGGACACGTCCTGCGTACAACTCACGGCTCTTTTTAGTAATAGAGTGAAAGGAGGGTTGGTGGAAAACTGGTGAAAAAGAAAGTATTTTTGACAAAAAATAGAATATGAGTAGAGGTAGTATATTTCAAAGTTATAACTCTCTGACACTCTAACAAGACCTTCACTGAAAAAAAGATTTTTAGTAACTGTTATCCTCTTTTTTAAGCAAATGGAGGCTGAAAGAGAAGACCGAAAGCAACGTGAAGCCTTAAGAGAAGAGGAAAGAAAGAGGCTTGAAGAGAGAAGGCGGATAGAGCAAGAAAAACTGGTTTGTACATTTGCGTTATTATGTGCCTCACATATAGTGTACTCCTTTATTTGAATGCTCATTCAAATCGTATTAGTTTCCAAAGGACTATCACCAGCATGCCGTATACAGAAATCAAAAATGATAATGATGCAGCCTTTCGAACTCTTGTTTCACACTGACATAACAGATTTTGTTTCTTTAACTATTTCCAGGAAGAGCAAGAACGCAAAAGGAAGGAAGAGCAAGAGCGAAAGGAACATGAGGAATATCTTTTGTTAAAAGAACAATTTACAGTGGAAGAAGAAGGTGTTGGTGAGACTGCCGAGGAAGTAAGTGACTGTACCATGCTAATTGTTAGGGAAACATGTCAACATGTCAGATGACATGTTGTTTGTCCTTGTTGTCAGTAACGAAATGAAAGCTAAGTTATTTTGCTGTCTTGTCAATGAGGCTGAGCAAATTTAGTCTTGTTTTCAATACAGTTTGTGTAAAAATTAATGTGTGGGAGAGGGAGGGGAGCATGAGCAAGTGCTGGATGGCACCTATCAGCCAAGGGTAACGCTATCATGTATCATGCATCTTAGTTTAAACTGGGCATGCCACATCACTTAGACGAGAGACACCTCTAAGTACAAGTCAAATGCAAACTGTCTAAGAACTTGGGGTTAAAAACACTAAATCTGCTATAAAAATTTGAAGGCATTAAAAGGTGCAAATTTCATGCAGCTTCAGTTCCTTGAAATGCATTGATAATTATTTTCTTCTTGTTTCTTTCAGTCTGAGGCTCTTCTTGAGGAGTTTGTTAACTATATAAAGGTAAAAAATAAATACAATAATAATGTAAAATGACAAATTTATGAGATCATTTGGCTTGTATCATCTTCAATGAATATTGTTCCAGGTTCTCTTTATAGTCTCCAGGTAATCAAATACTATTGAATGTTAAATTATGTTCAAAAATATGCATGCTTTTTCCAAGGTTACAAGTGTTTGAATTAATTTCAATTCCTAAATCTGTATTTGTCTGGTAAGAATAGTGGATATACTTTACATTGAGTTTGAAATGAACATTCTGTCTTTATTTGTCATGTTTGTTCCAAATTGTAATTTGTTTTTCCAAACTGCAATAACTCATATTGTTTGGTTTTCAGGACACCAAAGTTGTGTTGCTGGAGGAGCTGGCTTGTCAGTTTGGTCTGCGTACACAAGATGCCATTGATAGACTTCAGTCTTTACAGGACATGGAAAGGATAACAGGTAACATATTCTTTATATCAAGCACTCGGAGGGAATCACTATTAGGCAAAAAGGAACTAGTTGAATTTAAAGAAGTTACCAAGTTCCCACTTGGAAAGTAAAATAACCAACAGTCAAAACAATTTTTGAAAAATGCTGTAGTTTTGTTAGGACACGAACGACTGGTTTCAGTTCACATGGTTGGTCCCAATAAATACAGCTTGCAACTCAACGAGTAATTAAGCAAAATTCAGTCACTTGGGAGGCGGCATAGCCAGGTGGTTTAGGGTGCTGGATTTGAAATCTGGAGGTTCCTGGTTTGAATCCTCCACCCTACTATTATCTGGATTTGTTCTCAGTAGTCCTGAGTTCAACTCCTTTAACTGTATTGTGAAAACAGTCAACTGGTCACCCTTCCACCATTTGGGATTCTTAATAGTTTACGTTCCATAAAGCAATATTTGGTAAACTTATTTAGTTAGTGTCCCCAATTAGCACAACAGTGCTAAATACATTTGACACTTGAATAAAGTTATTGAATTTTAATTATTTTTTGACTAGTTTTTCGTTTTACTTTACTGTTTATTCCTTACCCAGTGCCAACATGACAATGCTCAGTCTTTTGCATACAGTACATGTAGTTTATACGACTTGCATGCTTGTTTATTTTTAGTAGGTTTTACATAAGATATTTTCTAGTTTTGTTTTTGAGAAATAGGCAGCTAGTATGCACTCACTGCCACTCCCATGTTTCAGGTGTAACAGATGACCGTGGAAAGTTTATTTACATCTCTCCTGAAGAACTGCAAGCTGTCGCCAAGTTTATTAAACAACGTGGACGAGTTACAATCAGCGAACTTGCCGAGAGCAGTAACACACTTATTAATCTGCAGACAGATAAGTCCCATACAGAATCTTCACCAACTGCACAAGTGTCTGCGTAAGGTTATTGAGATGTTATGGCAAACAATGGCAGACTGAAATAAGTCAGAAGTATTTATTTAAAAAAACCTGGTATCAAGACTGGCTCCAACAGATGCAAACAAGGCGCTTCCAAACCTTCACTTTAGCTCTCTTTTGTCTAGTATAAATTATCAGTCATTAGTTTTCATCATCAAACAGCAAATCCAAATTTTTTAATTTACTTGCCTTCCACTTTTGTCTAAACTGCTGGGCAAAACCAGTGTGCTAAAATTGAATTGATATTTTTGAAATGTCAAGTAAACTTGAGAGGCAGATTCCATTGTTTTCCAGTTACCAGAATTAAACATGGGTTGTTGACCAAGCTTGTTTGGTCAAGATGGCACTAGATATTAGCCAAGTTCCTTTTTTAGCATGTTTATGAACACTGCTGTCGTGCAGGATACAGCTGGCAAGATAGCTCCATCTTGCTCGTTCAGTTAACAAACCCAGCATAGGCGTTTATTCATCTTGCCTACTCTCTGAGCTACCCAGTATAATTACAGAAATTGTAAATGGTGGTAAGGAGCAGTTTTAAAATGATTGGCAGACAAATGTATGATAGAATAGCATCAAAGCGGACATTATGTTACATTATTTCAGGTGTATATGGCTTGTATTGTAGCTGATATAATGCGCACTCTGATTGGCCAATTGTAGGGCATTATTCTCCCACAATGCCCACGGGCCGATTATGGGCCTGCAAAACCAAAGCAAAAAGCCATATAATAACTACTTATTAACCTTGAAAGTTCGGTCTTTACCAGAAAATCTCAAACCTTGGCCTTGCCGAATTGACCGAGCAATAGGTTTCGGTTTGAGATTTTCCCATAAAGACCTCACTCTCGGTCAATAAGTAATTGGTACATACCAGTCAGATAACTGACCAACACTATGCTGTGATAAAGAGAAGCAGATTTCAGTTTTTTTTATATATTGATTACAAGTCATTGCAGACTGCTTCTTGTCTTATGTGAAAACAAGGAAAACAATTTTATTTTAAACGATATTATCAAACAGTGCTGAAATAATCAATCATTTTATTTTGCATTCCTCCCCTGAAAACAGATAGTGGCAATATTATTCAATAAATATTATGTTGAAATTATAAATTCCATGTTTCAATATTATTGTGTCACCATGTCTGGATACCAGTTTGCTAACTAACAAAGAAAGAATGAAATGTAATTATTATTGTTATTATTTACAAATTCTTTGAAATATGACAGATTGCTAGATGAAGAGAGATATGTACAATTAAATTGGTAATTATGATTATTGGCCTGAGTGGAGTACAATTCAGGGATAAATCGCACAAGTAATTTCAGCATCAGGCAAGCGTGAAGTGTGAGGCTAATTTGAAATTATGAGCATGATTACTCCCTGAATTGTACAACATGAGATCCCATTACTAATTAATCATATCTATAACAAATTTTGGAATTAAAAATGTCTTTTGAGAACTCATTTTAAGCAAAAAAGTTTGTTGAGCTTTTCATAAGTAGGAAACATTGAGAAGAAAGCCATTAAAGTGCACATAATTGATGTGTGAATCATGTGGGTATCCAATTACAAAAAGTTCAAATTGGATACTTGTAATTAGACACCCATGTGATCATGTGCCAATTATCTGACAAATAGGCACTTGGAGAACCAATCACAATTGAGAATTTTGTTATAAATATGATTAAAAATGTAATTCACTGCAAAGTTTGCCAAGTCATAGTGTACTTTATCTTACTAGTAAAACAATAGCTCTTATAAGTAACCAACCCCCTTTCCTATTTGTCTATATAAGCTAACAAAATATATTACTGAACAGACTGAATTAGATAATTTGTTACCTAGCATGATATGCATGTATCAGCAAAACACCAGTTAAAAAGCTGTAATTGAGAAGTGATTAAATAATAATTAAAATAAATAACAGTAACAAAACAGATAAAAATGTAACATGAATAAACTACTGAAGAGCATTGTTTAAGACTATCTGAAGCCTAAGTAAAACAAGAAATTTATCTAACTTGTTACTTAACATGTCATAATTCAATATTTGGAACAAATAAATAATTTCCCTTAGGCTATTTAAAAGTTCTTGCAATGCATAATAATATATTAAACTTAATTTTTTAATAGTGAAAATTGAAAAATGATGAAGGATTTGATCTGCTGTTATAAATTTATAAAATCTGGCATTTACCATGACTTTCATGGATAAAAATTTTATAAAACAAGAATTCCTTGGTATTTTCCCAAAAAAATGTCCCTATTATGCAGTGACTGTGCTAAAATTAAGAAATGGAAAGCTGAAATTATTGTGGAGCATGAATTTCACATTTTGATGTTTTGGCATCGTTTACATTGAAATAAGATATGCTGGACAATTAGTGGGGGGGGGGGAAAAAAACGCTGTTTAATGCTGCTAAACCAGCGATCAACTCCCATCTTCTCTCTACCTTTTCTTGTCAAATAGGTCCATGAGAATGAATGAACTGGGAAAAACAAATTGTCTCAAGGCAACTTATAGAAGACCACTAGCACATAGTAAGGAGAACTTGACTGTTTGTCCTGCAGGCAAATTTACCCTATTTAGTATGATATTGCAGCAGGGCAACAAGAGACTCCATTTTGTATCTTGATATGTCTCTTAACATGCACATGATCTTGGCTTCCAGACTCTTGTGCAAATGATCCTTGCTTCAGGAATGCTCACTGGTTTCACCCCTTACTTTCAAGTCTACCAACATCGGGATAGCCTTCTAAACGCCTTACATCCACAAATTTGGCAAAACCACCTCTTTTGATTGCTTCTATACCAATGTCGCTACAAAATAAAGTTGTATACTATGATTAAAAAGTGTTTATTTTGTGGCTGTGACTTATCTACAAGATTCTGTGAATAATGCATGTATGACCGAAAATGATTTAACATAGGATGATTTCCCTGGGGATGCATGAATATTACAAGTGAATGCCCCTTAGGTTGTCCTTAAACCTGCTACATATTCCAGGGACATTCCATGTGAATATTTCCTCTTCTCTAATTATTTGAGAACTGCAAACAAGTTTCACTGTAATTTGCAGCTCATCCCCTCTTAGCATGCACTAAGGACAGAATTAGAATTATCCTAAATAAGAAATGTTGCTGGGTTCACAAATAACTATGAGACACTCTAACAGCTGCAAATTAAAATACACCCATAAGGGGTGAGTTTGCGATGACAGCTTCTTAGTTAATTCATTTCCCACTAACTATATGTAATAATAAAATGTTTCAAAAAAAAACAAAAAAACAAAGCAATTTTATCTTTTAAAAAACTCACGAGTCTTCAAATGCCCAGCAGTCCTGCGGTTCCACACCCAATAGTTTGGCAGCTGTCAAAAATGCATCTGGATGGGGTTTAGCATTTTGATAATCTTCATTTCCAACAACTACGTCAAACAAGTCACGAATACCAGCCTCTGTTAATGCTGTGGAGTTAAATGTGTAAATGAATGCACGGATTATTTAAGGAACAAAACCTTGGGTCCCTTTACTTTGTAGTCTAACAAAATTCGCTGCGGGTATTTGCCGCCTCTCGTGTAGCTGATCT